TAAATGCATTGATCGCTGAAGAATAAATAGCGTCGTGCTTTCGGCTTTCATGTGTTTCGGACCAATTTCGTACGTGAAGGCAATGAGCCACTAGTTGGTGCTACCCACGAATCGAGGGTCTCCCTATGGAACGGTTCTCCCGATTAGCTCGTTGAAATTTTAACCACGCGCTGTCAACCGGTGAGTTAATTTAACGTGCAATTAAGAACGCGGCGTTTCTGTCGTGGATTCAGCATGACTGTTTCTAATGTAGTTGCCGGCGCGGTTTCTGCATGAAATTCGAGGACCGCGTAATTTCCTTCCTGCGGAACCAATTACTGATTAATTTGGCAAATAACTAATGTGCAAATTTGTCATTGGCAAACATGACTCCTCCTCCAATTGTTTATTATTACTATTAATTGCTATTGCTGTTGTGACATCTATTAGTTTATAATATGTATATTATTTAGTTTATAATTAGGCTGACTAGACTTTTCGAAAAATATATATTTTTTTCCTTCACGGATTTTCAGAATGTTCAAATTTGAGACTTAAAATATTATATGCAAAATATTCTTAAAGAATTAAGTAAAAAATTAAATATTAAAATTATTCACAGGTTAATATTATTAAATTACTTGTCAATTTGTGATATTATTATTCTATATAGATTGCATTTTAAGATTGAAAATTAAATTCGGCAAACAGATTGCAGGATTAGAAATATCTATGTAATATATAAATTCACACCGAACTATTTATAAGCACTAAAGATCCACTTTAACCGTTTAGGACTTTTATTTCCTATTTGTATTCACTTTACGATGTTAAAAGATACACTCTGTTTAAGTAAAAAAGTTCGTAAATTTTGTAAATTTATAAAACAAAGTTTGCCATTTTTTATTTTAAGCAGTAGTTTTTGAGAATTTAAATATGGCTAATTACAGGCTATGTTTAAACAATCACCTGAATATTAGTGAGCGCACGTTTCAGCGCTTGTGTTAGAAAAAAAATCTAAAACAGCTACCAAACTTCTAACATATTTGCATTTCAGCGCACACACTAATACTACTATCACACGTACAAATCATGCGGACACATAGCCGTCTGAACGTAATTTGTAATTGGCTATTGAACACTTATATCTTAAAAACTACTGTTTAAAATTACAAATAATTCGAGAACGTTCTTGCCATAATATTTTGAATCGTAAATTTGAAAACACGTTGTATATTCTTGAAGATTTTTAAAACTTATCTAATTTTAAAAGTTTTTTTGTTTTGAAAAATGCAAATATCTTTAATATTTTTCTTATACGATTACGGCTGCGTGCATAAAAAAATATTCATAATAAAAAATTATGAAAATTATGAAAATTTATGCAAATTCTGCTGGATCGGCAAATGAATTTTTTAGAAAAATGGTTTATAGCAATTTTTCTTCGTTTTTTACTGATATTGGTTATTGCGATTAACACGTTGAAATTTCAACCACGAATATCAGCTGAAAATACTTCATCGTACGATTCGCCGTACGTGATCCCTCTGACACGGAAATAACATAGTTTTATCTTCGAAATTAAATATACTTGGCGAGAAAACGGTTTTTATCAGTAATGAAAACACGTTATTGAATTTATTTGCGGTGAATTCACCGTGAATTCGGATAAAAGTCTCCCTGCGGTTAAAATGTGTCTTGTCTTTCTAAAAAATTTGATCGATTGTTTATTTTTTATATATTTATGAAAGAAGTTATTAGATGCCATTTTCAATATACATTCATCACGAAAGGTTTAAAAAAAGGAAAATAGTGTGAATAACAGACTGATGTTCTTCTCTTTCTTTTTGAATTTCTGCAATGTCTTTGCTGTTTTTCGTTGTACTCTCTAATTAAACGCAAATATGTTGGAGGTTTGCTAACTGTTTTAGATTTTTTTCTAACATAGGTGGTGTAACTTTAAGCCTTGAATATCTGTGGCAAATATTAAAGCCTTTTTTCTTTCGTAACGGGAGAAGCTGGAAGCTGGGTGCAGAGAAATGAAGCATTGTTTTCATTCCAGTGGGATATCCCTTTCTCTGTTCGTATAACACCACCAAAGTGCATCCTTGTTATTCGCGTCGTTTTTCTTTAAATCGCCGTAGCATATTCAGCAATCTTAGATCTCGTGACGAAACTGTGACATATTTAAGAATAGGCAGGAAAATAATTATTACAAAATTTATCACTTCATTATGTTTGGTACGATGTCCTCACGTTATCAATTTTTATTTGCCATAATTGGATATGAAATCACTTTAATAAAGTTTTGATTGCCCGACGCTCTTACCGCAAATATAAATGGAATTTAAAACGAAACAAAATGGAAAATATGGATTGCTTCGCAGTTAAAGTTGACAAGTTTTAAATGATTGTACAACATCAATTGAAAATTTAAAAAAATTGGAAATATTAAAATTTTTGTACTTTTTTCCTCCGAATCAAAATACGATAAAACGTAACAAATTTAATAAAAATTAGTGAATTTTCTCAACGTTCTAACTGAATACGATTAATTACGATTACTTCATCTCCACATTATTTAAAAAAAATATTTTCGCACCCGAAAAATTCATCGATAATATTGGAAATTCAGGTATTTATATGTGAAAATTTTGTTGATTTAAAATTCGAGACGATATCGTATTTCTGTTTTTATTTTGAAGCCATGATAATTAAATATTTCTACAGAGAAAAAATAATAATGTATAGAATAAAATAAAATTCTATTTATACAATTTCAACACTTCACTATTTAATAACCTATATATTTATTTATTAATCTTCGTTCGCTTGTTTTGTGGCTAACTTTATTTATCCGTGAAAAATAAATGAAAGCTCGCGTTCGATAGTTACATATATTCATAACCAGAAACTCAGTTTTCAATCGTTTACATGTTATCTATGCTTTATATCAAGAATTAATCTAACATTTAACTATTTTTTAAACTTTAGATATTTATTTAGTTCTTAAACTTGAATTTACCATTTTTCCGACGAAAGTAAAAACACTATAATCATTAATTATTTGTAGTATCAATATATAATATCTGTTTTCATGTTTATTTTTCTTGTTTTTCTGCATTCGATATTATCACACCGGACAAAAATACAGAAAAATCGTAGGAATATCGCAACGGTTCGATCAGCGCGACGCATTTTACGTCGTTTTGCTTCTTTATCATTTGGTCTGCAAATCACGCTTCAGTGCATTCATACTGTTTTTCAATCCTGTATCACATACACCAGACGCGACCACCTGTGTTTTTCATGCGGAGCCCGGAGAAACTCAACAACTTTTTAGTTACCTTCTCTATCTTAAATTTACTTGCGGTTAGAGCTGTTTCTATTTATTTCTTTTTCTATCTTTGTTTCGTTCCTTTTCCCTCTCTTTCTTTTTTATGCTCTGTTAATTTTTCTCACCAAACTTAATGCTAGGAGCTGCAATTTTAGCAATTCTCAAAGAGACAGAATTTTTAACAAAAGGGACCAATGTTCGTGTGTTTTTATCCGATTCCAACGTCCACTTAGCAGATTTTGTATTTCGAGTTATCGCGGCAAAGAAGAACTCCGGGCGTCTTTTCCGCACACGCTGAACAAATTGCGTGAAAAGCATAACAAAGACAGAGATAATGGAACAAAATAATATTGACCGTTTTTTTTTAAACAAACGACTGAGTATTATCCGATATTTCGCGAAAACGATTTTATGTATGAAATTCTTTAAAAATGCATAGATGTGATAGACTCCCTCGTGGAGAATTTATGGGCTTTAAATGATATTCATGAAGTCGCCTCGACTAAACGATCCCCGTCGTACATTATTTTCCTTCCGTTTCAATCTTACTCTCGGGTTATAAGCGAGATGTATTGAACTGAACGTTTTGATGGTCATCCGGAATCGAACTCGTAATCGGTTCTCATAAATTCTGGAAAGCGACTTCAACTGTCTCTGAGTACCGCAAGTGATCGGTAGCTCTGTACGTATTGATCTACAGCCCGTCCTACATATAATGGTACAACCGAAAACTTCTCTACGCTTGCATGTACTAGTTTCGCAATCAGTTCGGCCGAACTAGTACGCGCTTACGAATTTGCATTGTTTTCTCTTGGTAGGAAAGTCGTATATCGTTAATGCGAATGAAGCTACCGTTGCTTGAAATTAAACTAGTTTCTATTGTCAAAATAGTTGGTTATTGCCGATCATTTAACTTTAGTAGATAGATGATTTAAAGATATTCAAGTTGATAAGTCCTCAGAACAATCCCCAAAAAATTTCAATTTTATAGTTATATTTTTTATTAGTATATATTACGTATATTATAAATTATTAAATCCTTACATTACACTGAGAGAACAATTTTTTGTGATTATAATTACATGTTACCATTATTTATGATTTATTAATTATGATTATTACTGCTATAATATTAGTAATAAAATAACGATTGTAGTTCTACTAACAAAATATAGTTGGCAACTAAAAAAAAAAATGATTATAATTATTATAACCATAAAAATGTTTGCAATTACTGTAATTTAACTATAATCATTTTTTATTGCCAATTATATACATATATTTGTTAGGAGAATTAAAAATATATGTATATATAATTACTATGACTTAATATTACCTAGCAGTAATAATAGCAGTAATAATCATAATCATAATATAAAATTTTTCTCTTAGTGTATAGTTATATCCTTTAACAAAGGAACGTAAAAATAATAAAATTTAAAACTTCTGGGAATCTCGGCTACATCTTTGATTTTTCTTTTTTAGAATAAGGTGTTAAAGAAAACTTTAACTGCTTCAGGTGTGTAGTCATCCATCTATCTACTTAAAGGTTAACAAATTGTGTTACTCCATCTTTAATTATGATATTCATTGGAATATTTTCTGCTATACACATATCCGCCACGTGTTTGTACATATTTGACATACAATTGTATTCGTGCCATTACGAATGTGTCATACTTACAAATTGATCCCGTCGTATCCAGCCCCGATGCCGACGTGATCCACTCCGGCTATCTTCCGCACGTGATTGATGTGCGCTGTAACATATCACGAAAATTGCATGTATTAGGTAATCGTAGTAATGCCCGCTGCATGCCCTTAACATCACCGTGATATACGGAACGTGTAGCTCATTTATCGTGTAACAAGGAGAATTACATTTCCCTAACCGCGGATTGCCTGCGAACTTGGCTGTGAGTGCAGCGTGGACGATTTTTCTTTCTGCGACTAATAATACCACGAGTTATTACTCTCGAGCGCAACAAAGAGAATTACCTACACTTACATTATGTGTTTCCTTTATTTTCATTGTTAGCCAGCAACATACTCGTATATTTATTTTTTCTGCACATGTTTGATGTATAATGTCGTATGTCCGTTGCAGTTGCGTTTGCCGTCCTGGTTGTCCAGTTAGTCACAATTGCTAATCCAATACTGCACGATGTGCATAATTAATTCTTGCTTTTAATTAGAAGGAAATATTGCGCTGATGAATTGAATATCGTTAAAAGCAATCCGTCCGTCGGGCGGACTCATCTTTATATTTAAAGTCGAAAGAGACTGTAAATCAATTTGCAATTAGCACGGTCAAATCGCAAAAACTCAAAGGAAAAGGATTCACAGAGGCGCGTTAATCTTCAGTGGAGATATCTGGATGATCGAATGTAGATGAATTATGATTTTGCACTGAGAGAAAAGTATTTATAACTATAAGTATGAATAGTAAAATAATTATGGCTAAAAGCTCCATTTTTATAATTATTAATACTATTACTGCTTAATTTTTATGAAGAAATGTTCGTTATTTATAATTTCATATATCAAAAAGAATGTATGGTTGTTTTCGAAAGGACTATAAATTAGTTTATAAGAACAATTATATATAGTTTTTAGTATATATAATATTAAATGTGCAACTTAATTCTCGGTCTCTACATTTAATCGACTACTTATTTAAATTTAAATTTTTTTTCCATTGTATAGTCATTTTAAAGCGTCATCCTTCAGCTTTAAAACGATATACAATAGAGTTGATGCTGCTGATATACTTCTTTTCGCATTTCAATTAAAGAAAAATGCTAACAGCTAAGGAAATGATTTGCTAGGTCTTAGGTGAAAATGCTGTGTCTTATAATACGTATAAAAAGTGGTTTCACAAGTTTCGGGATAGCAATTTCAATCTCCAAGATGAAGAACGGCCTGGACAATAAAAAAAACTTGAAGAAAAATTGGAACAACCTTTAGAAGAAAATCTTTGTCAGATTCAAGAAGATTAAAAAATTGAAAGATTATTTTTTTATGTGTGGATAAATAATATATTTTTGTTAAAAAGGCCGATAATTACGTTGTACATTTTATAAATTTATAGAACCATGAATATAATTATTGTTAACATTATGGCATTATAACTTCATAGCATTATAGCATTATAACTTCATAGCATTATATTTACTATAAAGATGGAGCGTTTAACTATACTTATTTTATTATGCATTATAATCGCAAATATATCAAACACTTCGCTCTCAGTGTGTTTATTGCTGACAATCGTATTTGTAAATGCAATTCTCTCGTAACTAGTAAATTTCAAAGTGTTTCCTCTCGCGCCAAAGATGGATAAAATCGAATAATAATTTGAACATGTACAATGAGATCATGAACGTGCGCATAAACAATGAAAATTTGCATATCCGTCAGACGGATGTTATTGTTAACTCGGAAACGGTTGCGCTCGCGCGCGGATATAATTTACACCTCGGTAACGTAATATATCGCGGATATAATTTACACTCTACACCGACGTATGAAATCTAAAAGACAATTTCATATACTCATCAGAATTATGAACGTATTTCACTTTTTAATAAATTGAATCGCTCATTGCGTCATGAGTTATCAAAGGGTGCAATATTTAAAACATTTTAAATGATAGGTATTTTAAGCAAAATAAGGGGATTATTTCATATTAAACGAATCGATTAAAAAATTATTTCCATATTTATCTTATGTATTCTCAATTTAAATAATTTGATATAGCTCGATACCGATGCAATTAACCCTTTGAAGCTCTCTAACAAGATAACTTATCCTTGCTGGATATCCTTGCTTTCTAAAAGTTGTCGGAGTAGCTGAATCCGAATTTTGGAATACTGGTTTCAGAATTTTAATATTTAAATTTTGAAAAATAATCTGAATTTATATCGTGAAAACTCGTTTTAAATTTAAAAAAATATCTAAATCTATTGTGAAAACTCGGTTTTAGGAGGTTCTTGATATCTCTGAGCTTGAAAATATCGAATTTCAAACAGACACTAACCTGTATGAAGGAGGATCTAATGTCACAGGATTCATAATCAGAATTTAAAAATCAGTTTGGAAATCAGTATACTACTTAACTGTTTACGTACTGAGCTTCAAATAAAACGAAACTCGGAACTTGATGTAATAGCAATTAAAAACTCCCTAAAACTGAATTTTATGGTAATCAAATTATTTTTAAAAAATTCTGGTCGAATATACATTGAATTTTCACTGTATTTTGATTTTTTTTAATTTTTGGCTATAGAGTCGAATAAAGCATTTCCGAAAATTCCTCCATAGACCGTTTCAAAAATTGAGCGCGTTATTTATATTGTAAAAGGGATAACATAAAATGGGGTCGCGAATCCACAAAGGATTAATTTTATATTGTTTAGTAAACAACATCATCAATAATTTTTATGTGAAAACGTGATTTTTTCTGTCAGTATTCTTTATATACTTATATTCTTTGGCTAAAATTGACACAAAATCGAAATTTCGATTTTCGATTTCGCCCGAAATTTAATTATTGTTTTAATAAATTTTATGATATTTATGAAGAAAAAATATATGATATATAGGCATGTCTCTACATATGGCCTTTATAGAATTCCTTTTTTTAAATTTCGGTTACGATTGAAATTTACATGTAGAGAGTTTCGATTCAGTTTCGACAAAAGTTTCAGTCAGACTCTGTCGAGTAGTTTGACGTCAAAATGATGATAAATAACATTAGCTTGTTACTTGGATAATGATTTTAATAAATACACAAAACTTTGTCACACAAACTTTTTTGTCACTCTGTATAAATATAATAATATACGTATAATACATATAATAATTATTATTATTATATGAACAAAAGAAAGGTAAAGAGCCAATAATGTAACAAACCACTTTAATTTAAATCATGAAAATAAGATAATATTACAAAGAATAAAACACACGTATGTTTTGTTAATTATAAATATTTATTAATTAATAATTTGATAAACGCCAAAGTTTGTAGCTAAATCTTTTTGTCACTGTATACCATACTGTTATTATTATTATTATTATTATTACGATTTTTATTCATTATAGAAACTATGCGTTTCGCGGGTTATCTCTGTGACCATTATTAGAATGCCGACGTTTTATGAACACTGCAGTTCACTTCATCAGGACGAGGATCAGATATTGGCTGCTACTATTAAGCTGCTCCTCGTCCTGATGAAGTAAACTACAATGTTTACGAAACGTTGGCAGGGTTGGGTAAGTTAACTTTTTTTTTAACTAAGTTAAGTTAACAATCTTGAAAATTTAACTTAGTTAAGATATAAGTTAATTTATAATGAAATTAATTGAATTAAATGTTAAGTTAATAAAAAAAAGTAATTAAAAAGTTAAATTTTTTAATATTTTTATTTCAAGATTCCAGAGTTTCAGTCTTACAAATAACGGAAATGACAAATATATACTTCATTTAGAAAATACTCCATTTTATTTACATGTTTTGTTTATATATACTGTTTACATAGACTGTTATATATACTAATTGAATAATTTGTTCACATATACTTATTAAATTTTAGTAATAAAGCCATTTTGAAATTTTTGTCGGACATCTTTCCTCGCAAGTTATCGAAAATGAGTCCTCCTCCATTGAACAGCCGTTTAATGTGAGCCGAAAACAGTATTGATGTGTTATATTTTAATAATAAGCAATAATAGATTTCAACCTATCAGAAATTAGATACATCGAAATACACGGTTTCTGATAGATTGAAATCCGGGGCTCGATTGTGTAATCTGAAATGAGCAAATTCTCTCTCTCTCTCTCTCTCTCTCTCTCTCTCTCTCTTTCTTTCTCTCTCATTAAAATATTTATAATGTCAATGGTGAACACCTAGTAAATTTGCTTTCTTTTGCAATTTTCACCTTATTTTAAGCTATCGCTATTGTCGCATATTATGTCTGAGCTTAATTTTAAAAAAATAAAATAAAAAATTAATATTAATTACGGATAAAATGTAACTAAATAAAATTAAAAAGTAAAGAGTCTAAAATGTAACTAAGTTAAATTAAAATTAATTAACTTTTTAATTTTTTAACTTAACTTTTATCTTTTTAACTTAGCACCATCCAACCCTGAACGTTGGCATTCTGATAATTGATCTAGGTATGGAGATAACCTGTGAAACGCATAGCTTCTGTATAGAAAGTATCTGTGAAACCTTAAAAGGATTATTATTATTATTATTATTGTTGTTGTTATTGTTATATGCATCTGTAAATCATTAATTACTGATCATTGTTAGCTATTTTCTTCTACTAATAACAACGTACATTGGCGTTTAAAAATTGATAAAAAAAATACTGTAATATGTGTAATAAACGTTAATGCATTTACAAAGGTTTGTATACATAATGGATAACGGTATGTCAGTCACGCAGACACGACATGCATAATCGATCGGATAAATGACATAATTCATAGCCGATCAGACTGTAGAATAACGACGCGCCTCATTGCACCGCAATTTTGTTCGGGCACGAGTTGCCGCGTGATGCGGAACATATCAGAAACGTCACAAATTTCGATTTTCGCGTTTGCGCCGCGTTGCACCCGCGTTACATCTCTATTATATCGTAAATTATGTGTCGGCCGGCTCGGTGCGGTCTTTCAGAATTGATCACGATTCAACGGGGCACGTCGTTACCAGCATGGTTAGAAAATCACGTTATATGATGAATA